GAATCAAAATGATTCGGAAATGATTCGGGTGGTTCTTGGATCCAAAATTGCCCGCGCAAGACCTCTGCGCAATCTTGGATCTTGGATCTTGGATCCGAGCCGGAGCCCGAACCAAAATGATTCGGAAATGATTCGGGCAAGGGTATCCCAAAGACCCCCGCTTGCAGAACCGAAAGCTGACATTTAGAAGGGAGAGGCGTGGGTACATGAGGGGGGGGGGGGGTACCATATATATATATATATTGCATTTTGGTATATTATGGCATGTTATGGTATACTGTGGTATATTATGGTATATTTGGTTCTCGCTGGGGCTTTGCTAATTGCCGTGAGCTCCCGTGCGGGGCATGTTGCCTTCGAGAAATGGAATCACAGCACGGCGCCCAACACAATCGCCCAAAAGGCCAAGCATGAACCCTGAAATGCTTAGTAGAACATGAACACTAGTGGTAACGATTTGTTCTGAGTGTTACTCTTACTTGTAGTCTCATTCTTATCTTATCCTTTCTCTTCATCTTTCCCTTTATCTTTCTCTTCTTACCCCTACTCTGACTCTTACTCACTCCTACTCCTACTCCTGCTCCTACTCCTCCTCTTCCTCTTTCTTTGACCAGCGCTCTTGCGCTCACTCTTGCTCGTAGCTGCTCCTACTCCTGTCGTTCCTCTTCCTCCTGCTCCTGCGCTTCCTCTTCCTCCGTCTCTGTGCTTTGCTTTGCTCGGGGCTTGACGTTCCGCTGAACCCTGAACCTCTACTCGAGCCGGCACCCCGATGCGTTGCACAACGGTCTGTTTGTTTGTCCTCTGTCTCTGTCTCTTTCACTCTCTAACTCTCGTCTTTCTCTTACGATCTCACTTGCTCCTGCTCTTACTCATACTGTGACTACTTCCATCACTACAACCATTAATATGGCTTCGACTATCACTATGACTGTCACTACCACTACCATTATCATCATCATTTCCCTTACTCTTACTCTTCCTCCTACTCTTGTTCTTACTCACTGCTACTATTTCGAGTACTGTTACGATCCGCGATTACCAGACCCACTGTCATTACCATGACCACCATTGCCATTGCTATTGCAGTTGCCGATACCGTTACCTTACTTTCGAATGATTGATTGATTGATTGATTGATTGATTGATTGATTGATTGATTGATCGACTGAATGACTGAATGACTGACTGATCGATTGGTTGACTGGTTGATTGAATGGTTGATTGATTGTTTGATTGATTCCACTGACTGCATGTGGGTGCGAACACACTTGCATTTGCAAGGCACGTAAAGCCGTTCGTCTCGTGTCTTTGCTGCCTGTGCTACCTTACTGTTGCAGGAGTCATCATTATGGTATTGTTGTGATGCAGGCTATGTCTTGCTACCAACGCCTCAAAGAGCCGGCGTCGCGATGCCGAGCCAGTGACGCCAGTAGGGCAGCCACTGCCTGCAAGGCCAGGCTTCCAAGGCCCGGAAAGGTGGACAGAACACCCTTTTTGACAACGAAGCCCTGCAATGTCCCAGTCCGTGCCCACTGTGCCTGCAGTAGTACCCTCGATGCATGCCTGCTGCTTCCTCTGGCTCTAGCTTTTTCATCACCCCTCTGTCCAAAATCCAAGTCAAGTTGAAGGGATCTGCAGAGCTTTGTGGCACCTTTGAGGGTCTCCAGCGTCCCCAGCATTGCCCGGAATCGGCGGAGGCGCCCACGGTACCTGGGCGGCAATGATGACCGCATATGGTCACAACCACACTGGTGATGTCAAGCCCTCGCTGGCTTCCGCTTTATTGCCGAACACACTGCTCAGTCGTACACACATCAAGCACCCAAGGATGGATCCCCCAGCTTGGCCAAAGTCGCTCAGCCAGGGAGGTTGCCGCCGGCTTCCGGCCCTGACTCTGTAAACTTCTTAGCTTCTCACTTTTCACCATTTCCAATAGCTCTAGCTCCAGCTGAGAGTAAACGAAAAAAACACTGCTCGAAACGGTGTCCGGCGCAGCGGGTCTAGGCAGGCACGCCTTTTTTCTGCAAATGCTCATCACATGTGCCCGCGCTGGCCGCACTCCGTTCTGGGAGCCAAATTTCAAGCGCCGCTGCGCCGGATCGCGCTTGGGAAGCAGCTAAGCCGAAACGAGCAGAGCTGCATGGTCCGGCGTAGCCATCTTTGCTGCAGCTTCCAATACTGCCTGTGCCGCCACTTCCGGTGATTGGGTCTTTTGCAGTGCTCTGGAGCGGAAGACCCATTGCTCTTGCCAGGCATCCACAAATTCCATTACTGAACTTGTGATTCTCGCAAGCCATGGCATTAAATGCCATGGGTGACTGGAACCACAAGTTCAGCAGTAGTATCCTTCACCTCCACGAAGGTGACCTCAGGCCGGCAGATCCATCCGCTATTTTTCTCGGACGTTCGCAGAGGAGAGCAAGAGCGCGGCGTGCTCTTGGTCACGTCCGCGAAAGCTCGTGATACCGGCTCCTGGCCATCCCTGTTGACTCCCAGCTTTCTGAGCCGTTGCTTCTCCTCCTGGTTTTGGTCAGGCAGGTTTCCAACACTGCCTGCGAGGCAGCTTCTGAAGACCGACTTTCGCGCAGCACCTTCCGAGCCGTCGATGCCGTCGTCAATTGTCTGTCCAACACGGATGGCATATGGGATGCGTTGCAAGAACTCTTGCAAAGCATCCCAAATGCCATCCGTGGCGAGAACCACGAACTTCGTGCTTTCTTCTACTGCAACAACTGCGACCTCCGGCTTGCAGATCAGGCCGTTGATCTTGTCACCAGTCTTGCTTTCAATCTCCCCAAGTACTCGGGATACCTGGACCTTACCATCGACATAGCCTCCATCGATGTTCACGCCGAGCTTCTGCAGGCGATGCTTCTCTTCGGCTTTATCTCAGGTCTCACCCAAGACCGTGGATCATTCCAGGGGAATGATCCACGGTCGCATCGCCTGCAGAAGCTCGGCGTGAACATCGATGGAGGCTATGTGGATCCTTGGCGCCTTCGGAGATTATGCACCTAGGTTCACAATCAACAGCTTCTTGCCCTGCGGGAGAACAATCATTCCCGAAGATGATCGGCTGTCTTTACCGATACTTTCGCTGATTCACAGACCACCGCTCTGAATCTGCAAGCTTAAGCAACAGCAGCTCTTTTGCCTCGCAGAGGTGCCGCACATGCGACCGTCCTTCCTGTGGACAAGACCTTGGGCTCGTCGGCCAGTTCTTGTTGCATCTGCTCGTCGAAGCTGCTCTAGCTGGTGGGGCAGCTTTTGAGCAAGACGCGTGTGGCCGGCGGTGTCTTTTTGTAGAACAACTACACATGCTGCAGCTCCGGGATCCCAAGGGCTGGATCTAAACAAGACCATAGAACAACACGGAAAGGCTCCGTGTCTTCTTCGCCTATGACACCAAAAGACAAGTGTTCATGTGATGCTTCAGCCTGTCTCCCTGCATGAGCCTCCAGATTGCGAACATTGTCGAGGGTCATGCTAGAGCTGGCGGTTCACTGCATGAAGCAATTCTTCGTCTGCAAACTTGATGCAACCGCGAACCCCTAGCTCAAACCACCAATGCACACTGCACCAAGCTACAAGCCTGTGAGATGCGCACGGGTGAGCGAAGGCTCTATCTGCACATCCTGGCCTGTGATCGCTGCATGCTGGTGGCTGTGGTGCCGAAATCCGCTCGAAGGAGTCGCAGCCAGCGCTCCTCACGGATGCTCTTCGATCCCGAGGATAAGCACAGGTGCGGGAGGCGGGGTCCAATATGCTTCAGAGCCTCAGTGTTCGAGGCTCGCAAGTCCACCATGCTCATGTTCGGCGTCATGCCCAGGATCCCTAAGGTTCTGATCACTAGTAGGTGGTCAGGACTGAAGCTGTCGCAGGAGGACAAATTCCGGATTATCTGAACAAACACGGACGTCTGATGGTGCTCGTTGTTGGTGACTTTGGGATCGGGAAAACAGACATCGAGCATGGAGCAGCAATCCAAGCGCAACAACTACACCATGCGCAAAACAAGACGGCCGTGTCCGGCAATCTGGTTCCTCGACGTTGGAGCCCCACTCTTTGCAACAGCTGCTCGCACGGCGCAGGCTGTCGCAATCAAGGCACCTGGCAAGCTGGTCACGCGACTGAAGGCATGTAGCTGAGCAGCACACAATTGTCACTGACTGGATAGAAGCAAAGCAAATTCAACCCATGGAGCCCCGACTTGGAAATCCTAAGGCCATTCATCTCGTGAACTCTGGAGAGCAATCTACCGGTCGCACCAGAGGATCGCATTCAGAACGTCCAGCGGCAGGGATGGGAGGGACCAGTCCTTCCCGGAAAGCGCTACCCGGCAACCTCTAAGCCTGACTGCAGTCCATGGCCCCAGTGTGAATCGAGGGCGGTCCAGAGCCAAATCAGCCTCCACGGCTGCATCGCCTGGCAAGTTCTGACGGCCGGTTTAGGGTTTAGGGTTTAGGGTTTAGGGCCGGTGCGGCAAGCGTTTGCACTGCTCGAAGCCTTCCTTGCGGGCGGCTCCAGCTTTGGTCGTCACCCGCATCTCCTCCCACGTTGCCACGGCATGATGTACTCAACCCATCAAATGCATAACAAACCTACATACATCCATACATACATACGTACATACATACATACATACATACATACATACATACATACATACATACATACATATATATGTATATATATATATGTATGTATACAATATGTAGATGTACATCATATGAACCCGTGCTCACCCTGAGACATGCTTTGCTTCAATTGATGCACCCCTGATCCGCGACCTGCTCTCCAGCCTTTACGATGAGCGCCCGTAGTCGCGCCTCCGAACAGGTCGGGCAGTTACTCGACCGGCACTCGGCAAAATAAATCTTCATATGCCGCGGATCCCGCTCTGACCAGTGCAGGCTGCCCCACACCATCAAGACTTGCAAGATTCTCTGACGACACATCACGCAGAAGAATGACCAGTATTGCTCTGTGCGGTTCAGGTCTCTTCGAATCACAGACTCTTCGGCCTCTGAACACGGAACCGCACCACCAGGTTCTAAGGCTTCTGAACACTTCAATCGCATCTGCAATTGAGACAAGTCCGCAAAGGAAATCCGAAAACACACCATGCTCCGAACTCCATGCCTGTACTTCTTCGAGCTCGCGCAGATTCTGCTCAAAGTCAAAGCGCTCGGCTTTGCACCTGGCAATTGGCAGTACAAAACGCACATCGACAGCCGAGCCCCTTGTGTTGCGGAAATCTTGTGACTTTTACATGCAAACGTTCACGTGGTCAGACTGCAGGCATCTGCTTCTGTAAGGGCTAGCTGTCCTGGCTCAAAATACTACTGTACTATAGTAGTGACGAACAACAGGTACAATCCACTTAACTGTGCGAGGAAGCTCACCGTGTCAGCATGTCACTGATCTCCGCTGCGATCACTCGCTGCCTCAACATGGACAAGAGCTGCAGAAAAATCAACGTTTCAGAGTTTACATTAATATCAAGCTGCCCGTGCGTGGAACAGCCCGGAACAAGAATTGTGGCATCGACTGAACAGTACAGTCTCCTGCTTTTTACATGTGCTCCTCCAACAGAACTGACCCAGCATCATCTGGCTGAGCCTGTGGTACAGGCGTGAAGCTGCGCTCAAAACATTCAAAACTTTTTCGGCAGGGCAACCCCTTGAAGAATGACACAGCAAGGGTCAGAGCCACTGCCACTATAACTAGTCCGGCGGGATCATAGCCTAAAGCTGACTCCCTGGGAAGCTGCCAAAGCTCAAATTCTGGCTCTTTGGCCAGGCCAGCGAGATCAGAGCAGGCACGCGGCCCTGCCACAAAGTTCAGCACCGGCTGGAGCTTTGTCGCCGATACTGCGGAAAGAGAGCAGAGCCCGGAAAGGGTAAAGTAGGAGAAATAAGCGCAGTGCCTTTCCCTCTGGCACCACTCTTGGCAATGTAGCGCAGACTGCACAACTTGAGGCTCAGTCGTCTCCAGCACAGGATGATACGAAGCATGCGGATGGTAGCAGTCTCCTCGGAAAACAATCTTGTGAAATGATCTGGTGTCGGGTCGCTCAGGTAGGGCCCAGGGGTTTCCGAAGGTGAACCTAAAGCAGCGTCGGTTTAGTATCGAAGGGCTTAGGGTCGGGCCCGTGGTTTTCGAGCACGGGGTTCTTGTGGGCGAGGTGTTTCGGAAAGCTTCGTAGAGTTGTTGCTGAGGTTTCAAGACTGTCTCCTATGGCATTGCTGCCTTCACAACTGATACCATCAAAGGCTCTTATAGACCAACAGTCTATCTGTGCACATACCGCAGGTATGCGCATGTAATCGGCATAAATATGCATAATTGTCTACACTAGTTACATACATGTCTTGGCATATACGTGTTCAACCCTTTCGCCTGGAGCTACGAACGTAAACTGGGCCTTTATGGACGCGGCTTAATGGTAAAGGAAAATGCAGTCTAATGAGAGAGATGATTCATGTGGACCAGCTGGAAGATCAAACGACGTGTACGTATGTTGCCGCAGTCCCAGGTCATGCGAATGATGATGTTGAATTACGGTCAAGACTTGGTTTCTGAAGTCCACCGAAGCCTTTTGGGAAGGAAGGAGGAAGACCGTTCGCTACGTGCTGCGCATTTCCAAGCCAAAACTTACACAGCAATATACAGCAATTCATAGCCCAGCAGCGATGACGTTTTGCAAGCACCCGTGCGGCTGCACTGACTTGCTCCTCTCGGCAACCCGGAGGCCCAGAGACCCAGCCGTCTTTCCCATGTGGCCTTGCAGTTGGCATTCGGAGGTGGCCCAATGCATGGCATTGGCGCCCCGGCTTCCAGTACGCGAAGGCTGCACAGCTGGGAATCCTCCACTAATGCAGCGCACGCAAGGCAAGAACCAAACACATCACCACACCCACGCCGAAAAACAGAGGGTTTGGTGAGCTTTCTTGCCGTCTTAAAAACTGCAAGCCGGACATCGCAGCCTAAGCATTACCTGTGTAGCGCGTGCTAGCCTAGTGCCTTGGGCTCCTGGAGCAGCGCGCTTGGCAGGCTGAGACGTTGTCTTCGAGCGTCGGGGCCTGGCCAGCGAGCCTGGCGTCTTGAGTGTAGCTGCCTTCTGCACCCATGTCAGCCCAAAAAAACATTACTTTAAGGTTGCTGTTAAGGACGAGCAGCCCGCTTCTGAACTCCAAAGCTGCGGTGTTCGTGCTGCATTGCAAGGTCTCGGACTCATTGTGTAGATCGGTGGGCACCGCCGGAACCTGCGGTTCAGGAACAGGGTCCGAGAATCTTCGAGGACAGCTTTGGCTTGGTTGCACGGGTCGTTTCGCCAGGATGGGATCTGGATGGCTGTGATTAGTTTCGCCAATGAACTGAACTGCCAATCCAGCCTCTGATAGCTCTGACAGCTCCAGCTTGAGAGTGTCTGTCTCTTGGGCAGGCTGTACAGGCCTGAAGGTCTGCATTTGCCTGCCGACACGGATCTGCCTTCTACCTTTGCACCTTACCATACCTTGCCTACACGGCACACCCGGGTTTACAGTGCCAGACCAGAGCTCGGAAGACTTAGCGATCTTAGACCTCTTTTCGGCAGTGAACCACAGCCTGACGACATCATCTGCGAAGCTGCGCAGCTCCAAGATCTCGGGGCTTTCCTTCAACCAGTTGGCTTGGCCATCCGAGAGATTGTAGCCGAGGCGGAGAAAGGTCTCCTCCAGTCTTCTCACTTCGCTACCACTGGAGTTCTCTTCGCCAAGCCTGCGAACGACGGTGAAGGGTGCAGCCTCGAGAATGGCACGCTGCACTTCGGCCTCGGCGGTCTGGGCTTGGGCCGCATCCCTGGCCGCGGCCTCTTTGATCAGCTTGTTCTTGTTGCCCACTTCGCAGGTGGCCCAGGCCGCTGCACCACCGGCAGAGGCCGTGCTGAGCCCGGCTGCGATGGCGGTGACGCCCGCCAGGCAGACAGCATCTCGTTCCTTGTACGGGGAGCAATGATTTACGGCCAGGGCCAGATAAAATGACAGCTTGGTGAAAGCCGTCAGAAGTATCGAAACATCGACGGTGCAGGCAGCCGTGCTCAGCTTTTCAGTGAAACGTGTGATTCGATTGACAGGGCATGACCTGCTCAGCAAATCCAAGGAAAGCCCGATGGATGCAATCCCGCGGCTGGCATCCACCGCATCGAACACACACTGGGCTATGTCTGCTTGCCTCGACTTGGGTAACTCCATACCGTCCAGCCGTCGGCCGGGCTGAATTCCCTTCGGAAGAAGGTCTGCGTCGGAGACCGCTTTGTCACACACTGCCTGGGAAGAGGCGGGACGTGGATACTTACAAAATGGCACAAAGATGCACAAACACAAAACCTCAAAGGCTTGCTGGTGCAGCTTCGTTTCAGAGACGATGACGCCCCCGTCGATGATCAAGGACCAAGGCACAAGCAATGTCTGCACCGAAGCAGCGCAGGCCTCGGCTACAGAAGCTGTCCTTGTGCAGGTCGACGCCAGGACGACGATGGAGCGAGAAATCTGTGCCAACGATGAAAAGACGGCTGTAGTGCTTAGCAAACACACCTTTTCCGCAATAGTGGCCTCGTCCCCCGGTTGGTGTGACAGGGTGTCCTCTGCAGACTTGGGACACTGCTCCACGATGTTCTTGATCTGGAAACTCAACCTTGCCAAGTTGCTCACCAGTCCTACAGCGCCAAAGGAGCATGTAGCCTCTTTGAACTTTTTTCGGTCTTTTTTGTTGTGTGCTGCGATCCACTCGGGTGGCCGGGTAACGGTTCCCAGCACATACGGCAGGACATCCACGTCATGTGCCGAGACCGAGTCCGGTGCGGTCAGCACCAGGCACCACACCGCAGCCGAAACAAACATGGCGCGATGCAATTCACCAAAGCCGGGTTGTACCGCTGCGGGAATGGCAATCGAGGGCATGAAGATGCGAAAGGCTCTACTGCATCCTCCTGTTAAGGGATGCAGTTCGGGAGGGGGGGGGCTTCTTTACATGGGCTTCCTCGTTTCTGAGTCATGAACACCAGCAGGTAGAGCCAACAAACTGTGGACACCTTGTGCAATCGTGTATGACGCCTGCATGCCTTCGGATGATGAGCTCCATGATATGGCTGCAAGGGGGTCACAAGTACTGCCATGCACGATCACTCTCTGTGGCCGATCACGCACAACATGACTTCTGATAGCTCGCCTGAGTGATCCTGAGGTATGTATCGGCCTAAGCTTGACAGGCACGAAAGGCTTGGAGGTGCCTGGGCGGCCCAGGCTCGCTGCTCGCCACGGAGTTGTCAAGGTCCTCCAAAGGCTGGAGACAGCAAGGTGACGCTGAGAGCAAGGGCCCGTCAAACAAGGCAGCAGCATGTGAGAAAAAGAGATGGAAGTTACGTGAGTTTCTGAATCCCTAATTTGGACACCAAAGCTCAAGGAACCACACACAACTTCAAGCATCTCCAAGCTGGATGCGGCACCTCCCTGTCGATGAGCCCTGTGTCGCTCGGAGTGTCTGAGCCTGCGCTGAGAACCTTGAACGAGTCATGAGGCTCGAGGCTTGGCAATGTGGGTTCGGAGCTGTTCGGTGGAGTCTTCTCAGGATGCTGGACGCGAAGCAACCGCACAGGCTTGACGGCCACCATGCTGGCAGCTTTCCTACGGCACGCTGTAAGGCATCTCTTACTCTGAAGCTCTACGTGACAACAATCCTAAGCCATGAAAGGGACCCTTACGCGCGTAAATATCGTAAATGCACAGGAGGCTCCCGACCTCTTCCTTCGGCGATGCTGTGGACTCGGAAGCCACTGCCTTCTGGGGCGAGTCAGCCTGCCGGACAACTTGTTTGTGTGCACTTATATGTGTGCGTGTATACGTGCATGTGCACGTGTGGGTATGCGTGTGTACACACGCAGACAAATTCATTGCATTCAGAATTTGCAATTAAGTCTGTATATATAAGCATATACCGTCATATACCATATAAATACACTGTGTGTGTGCACGGGCATGTATGTATGTATGTATGTATGTATGTATGTATGTATGTATGTACGTGTGTATGTATGTAGGTGGGTAGGTAGGTAAGTAGGTAGGTAGGTAGGTAGGTAGGTAGGTAGGTAGGTGGGTGGGTGGGTAGGTAGGTAGGTAGGTAGGCAGGCAGGCAGGCAGGCAAGTAGGTATGTAGCGTAGGGTTTTATCCTGTGTATGTAGGTATGAGTAGGCACGCATGCATGAATGCATGCCTGCCTGCCTGCCTGCCTGCCGGCCGGCCGGCCGGCCGGCCG